CACAACGCCTAGGGAATATGGCAGTAAAAAGAGCATTCTGTGCTGCTGAATTATGCTGTGTCTTCAAAATCATCCATCCCTATTTTGTGTTCGGGAGTGAAAGATAAATTGCCTAATTTCGCCTCTTCCATGTATATCTACTAATTTAACTTCTCCTATGGAGCCAGATAGTTACATAGGCCGTACAATTAAGCGTGTTTATCGTCGGATTTCTGAACATCATCCTGCACAGTGGTTGGTTAACTAGCGGATAAATAAAATCCATTCATAGCGCTATTCTATCTCATCTTGTGGATACAGAACACAAGATTGATGTTAACCGGGATTTCAAAGTCATTTACCACAGACCAACCAACAAATCTTAACTTCACCTTAAGAGTTCGATTACTAAATATTGCTGAGATCGTTGGGATCCACGTAAACAAGCCTAATGAATGCGTCCAAAAGAAGCTAGTTCAGACATTGTCCTTAACTTGGCCATCTAGGTTCGAATGATCCTCAACTTTCTGTGGAAATTCCCCTAATTTTAGCTGATATTCTATTTGCTATTACATTTTTATTATTATTATTATAATTTAAGCATCTTTAATGAACTGTGGTAATTCCATTGTGATCTTACTTTACAAATCGATATTATTTAAAAAAAACCACCAATAATGTTATTGACTACTATTCTATAATATTCTATGTATATAAACATATAAGTAATGCGTTGGTTAATTGGTCATTCATCTGAGTACCAATCAGGCGTCTAGAAATTCCCTGACTTTAATTTTGGTTTTTCTTCTATTAAAAATTTCTCTATTAGCCCAATCATCAAATTCGTGTCCATAATCGTTTACACGCATAGATATGAAATGGCGGGCAACGAGGAAACAGGCATGAAATGGACCCACACAAAAAATCTTGGAGGATCTGGACTTCGCCGATGATGACATATATGTCTGATTTCCCACAAACTTGAAGATATGCAAGTGAAAGGCAACAAGTTCGCAGAAGAAGCATCCAGAGAAGATATGCCTTCAAATGAACATACAGCAAACACAGAGGCGATGAAGATTCCTGGCCAACAGCAACAACAAGAGACAACAATGAGCATAAACGGGAGAAATTTGAAAGAAACAACCTCTTTTACCTACCTGGGAAGCATCGTTTCAACTACAGGCAGACGGAACTGACGAGGATATCAAGGCAAGAATCGGAAAAGCAAGGCAAGCTTTCAATTATTGTCAATTCTGCATGGAGATCAACAGCACTCAACATGAAAAATAAGATCCGGATTTTCAACTCCAATGTGAAGTCAGTGCTATTTACTATACGGATCAGAGACTTGGCGACGCGTCATGAAGAGCACTTCGAACAAACTACAGACTTTCATCAACAACTGTTTTCACTCAATACTACCCAAGATCAGATGGTCGGCTAGAAAACATCAGCAACATGGATCTCTGGGAGCGGACCAACCCATCAGGAACTAATTGTGCAACAAATATGCAGGAAGAAATGGAGCTGGATTGGATTGGCCATACTCTGAGAAAACAAACCACCAAGTGAGCGACATCATACGCCACGCTATCACTCGAGTGGAACCCGAATAGAAAGCGGTGAGTCAGTTGGTCGTCAGTGGGAGGGTGACATGGAGGAGGAGGTGATGGGAAGAGGAGATGAAAACATATGGTCGTTCATGGAGACAGGTGGTGAAAACGTTGGGAGAGAACCGAACGCAATGGAGATGTGGATCTGAAGACCCATGTCCCTCTAGGTACTAAAGGAAACAGTAATCCTAATAATGGTGAATTGAAATCAATTCACTTCACACAAAAACCTGCACTGGCTGAAGATGTTGTCTCGCCGGTGGACAATGAAAGCTTCGCAATTAAATCAACGAACCAGCGCATAGAACACAACTAAATCAAAATACTCGCTTCAATTTTAAAACTATTAGTATTTAATTTTATCTAAAGAGTGAATAAAAGTTTCATAATTAAATCATCATTCAGTTCAGGGAACTCCACCTCAGGACATAAGGCTCTATTTTCAAGTATTAGTTTGTCAGGATTCACTAAATCACTGAAAGCAAGCAAGGAGTACTGCCAGACAACTGCTTCGTCCTAGTTTGAGACTCATCGGCAGTACACACCCACTCCTAGGGTTCGAACCCAGGACCTTCCGGTTTTGCAAGACAAACTCGTATAGCATTCAGACACTGGGACTTGATTCAGTAGTCCATGACTAGGACAAAGTAGCTGGCTGTCCAGTACTCCATGGCGGGTTGTCAATGGCTCTCTAACTGATATCAATTCGTGGTATAACCTGATTTCAATAGTAACCATAGAAACTAATTTTTGAAAATTAATCTGATGCTCCCTAGTGGCTGGCTACAGACGGAGTTTCTGGGAGTTCTAGTGAGACATCATGGCCAGTGAGGTGCATCCAGTCGGGAGAAAGGATGGATTTCCCGCCGACACTGGTTGATGCCAGTCGCACTAAATGCATCAGGAATTGGTAGAAGTTAGAATTCATGGGCTGGTTATTGAACTGGATCTCAGTAGCTGAATGGTGTATGAGCTTGCTTGTCTTTTAACTAGAAGTTCCTGGGTTCAAAATCCACTGGGTGCGTACTGACGATGAGTCCCAACCTAGGACGAAACAGATGTCGGTTACTCCAGTACTAGTTTTCAATGGTTATCTAACTGACATCAATCCTTATACCAAATAATTATACTACAAGTTATTAATGCAAAGTATAACAATTTCTATGTAATTTTGTGGATAGAACCCTGCAGGACAACACGCGTTTTGTCCTTTTTGAGACTCATCATATAATGGATGTACCTGCATTTTCCAATGACAGAGTTGTAGTGTTCCCACTGGGGCTCAAACCCAGTACCCATAGTTTCATATGTGCCAAGGCGTTATCCACTCGGGTCATTCGGATCACGAAAGTCACCACCTCTTTTGGAAAAGGGTATCCGTTATTATTATTTTATTTAATTTAGCTTTCCCAGATGACGAGTCCTAAATAGGACGAAATGCTCATTATCCTGAAAGATTTCATCCACTGCTAGTCACTATCCACCAGGATTATTTCAAGTTGAATCCTTAGACATCATCCAAGGCATATTAATATATGTGTAATACTTGGGCACTGTGGTGGTAGTATGTAATTCCATATTAGTTTGTTTATTTGACATATCACACAGTGAAACAGTATCATTTACTGGATATTGTCGTTTCGAACACAATTCACTTATTGTTCATAATCATATCAATTGTGATCACATGACTTTGACACTTGAGTTTTATAGTTTTCTTTGTCCTCTCCTACTTGTCATATGGGTAGTAGAATTTTCCAGATATCGGGGACAGGTGATGAATCATTCCAATTACGTGTATTTTTAGTTGATTCGATAAACAAAGCTTCTGTTATCAATCTCTCCCTATACCCTGTGGCATTAGATTTTAAAACTGTCATCCTATCCCATCCTATTGTATGGTTGTGTGTGACTGCATGTAGTGCTATAGCTGAACTATTCTCTACATTTCTTATCTTATTTGGGTCAACCAATCTAGATTTTGCTAAGTTTTTATGTTCAGCTAGTCTGACTGCCCCTGTTCTACTAGTTTGACCTATGTATTTGACCTGACAATCATTGCAGTCAGGGTATTAGGTAAACTAAATTATTTTGTTTAAAGGCTCTACAGGATCCTTAAACCGACAAAGCTTGTTTCTAATTGAGTTTGTGGTTGGTTTGAATGCCAGCCACTTTTATTCCTGCCTTGTTAAGAATTCTGCGTAAGCCTTCCGAGGTTCCTTCCTTGTATGGAATTACTACTGATGATTTAGATTCTTTATTGTTGGTGTCGTCATTATTATTATTATTGTCACTGTTATCATTATTATTGTTATTATCGCTATCGCTACTATCATTATTTATTTTATTTTTATATTTCCTTACATATTTCCTGACTAATTTATCCGGGTAATTATTAAGTTTTAAGGCTTCTTTTATGTGTATCAGTTCCTGTTTTAGATTTTCTTTGGTACTACTTAGTTTTGTGCTCTGTCATTTAAACATTTCATCAATCCTATTTTTACAGACATAGGATGGGACGATCGGAAGTCTAAATACCTGTTTGAGTGTGTGGGTTTCCTGTAAACACTAGTGTTTAACTTTCCATCTGCTTTCATTTTTACGTTGCAATCTAACATTGGGAACTCCCCTTCCTGATTTTCCAATTCATAAGCAAATTGAATTGCTTCAACCTTCGAGTGAGAGATTGATAACAGAAGCTTTGTTTATCGAATCAACTGCAAATCCATGTAATAGGAATGATTCATCACCTGTCCCCGATATCTGAAAAATTCTACTACCCCTACGACGACAAATAGGAGAGAACAAAGAAAACTATAAAACTCAAGTGTCAGAGTCGTGTGATTATAATTGATATGATTATGAACAGTAATAAATTTTGTTCGAAACGTCATCCAGTAAACACTAATACTGTTTCACTCACTGTGTGATATACCTAATAAACAAACTAATATGGAATCATCCAAGGCACCTGCACAAGGAGGTGACATTGTCAACATAAGAGGCTGAATACTTCGTGGCCAATCAACTAACGGAAAAGTCCGCGTTAAATTTAAACTTCTAAATGCATAAATAAACGTATAATTTTCTTTAAATTCCATTGTACTACTTTAAATGAATTCAGCTACCTTTCTTAGAGTACAAATTCACGAAAAATAAAACAAAAAATTAAGAAAAACCCGGAGGGAACCAGAAAAACAATATCTAACTTACAATTATTATTTTTTTCAAAATAAAAAAAGAAAGATTCAAATTTAAATCATCATTATAATTTAAATAAAAATATTTTTTTATTCGCATATATATTGTGTTCAACAGGCAGTGCATTACTCAAATATTCAATCACATTCAATGTCCAATGATCAATTTTCAATGGCGGTTAATTTACAATTATTACTATCACTGTTAAAGATGTTCAAGGGCTTGTGGACAAGTTAATAATTTTCTTAATAATCCCCATGTTTGTTTCGCTGTAATATCCATACCATTCACTGAATAACCACGAAATATATCCAATTGTGGTAGGAAATAATGCGGACATCGACGATGCTGTAAACATGAAATTAACTGTAACAGGATACCGTTAATACGATCCCCCAGTGTGTATTCAGTCCAATCTTCATCTCTGGGGTGTTTTTCACATTCATGAAGGACAAGGGTTTTAATATCATATTCTTGAATCACAGGAGGACTGTGGTGAGGCGATATTGTCGATGATGATGATGATGGGGATGGAGATGAGGATGTTGGTGTGGCCGCCGCGGTAGTAGTAATTTACACCTGTTAAATATTGATCCGCTAGAGTTTTTAATATACTAAAACATTGTCTACGTATATTATGACTAAGTAGCAGTCTTTCCTCAGCGTCGTAGAAGTCTAGCAACCAGGCGTCACCTTCAGCGGAAGCTTGTTTATCCTTAGTGTATACAGATTCTTGACTTAGCAGACAGAAACCTTCACGTTTCACTTCATTAACCAATTGACTGGATGGCCATTTAGGCGTAGCCGCTGAGGTTGAGTTGCTGGTGGAATCTGCTGCATAACCAAACTGATTACCACTCGAGTTCATTGTTGTCATTGGCCAGTGACTAGCTGATCTCGGCCACAGACCGTTACATCGAAATCCTGGAGTAATTTGTAAAATATACTTATCCCGTATACACAATTTAACTTCACTTGTCTGTCCCAACATACGTACCACTCCACGATAACTTGATTTCTGCAAAGCTTGTTGAACAAGACTGTAGAAACGTGCACGAATTTTACGCGCTGACAGATAACCAGACGCTGTGATAAATTCGACCCATAATGACATGGAACGTTTACGACCATCGGATAGCTTGAGGACAGCCCCTCCCGGGACACTTCCATCATCCATAAAGTTGAAGACACCCATTTGATTTAAAAACAGTGTGATTTCAAATTTATTCGAAGATAATACACGTAAACCATCATAATAAATTCCATTTTGTGAAGTATTACTATTATTTACACTACTCATATTCATCTTGTTAGTAGTATTAGTGTTAGTAGAAGTACAAGTATCACTAGTACTTTCAATAATATCCTCATGATCAGGATCATGATTCGGTTGTTTTTGATCTAAAGCTTGATGATTAGGATAACTGGTATTGATCACTTTCAGGGTACTGATGAAACGTGGTTCTTGTAATTCAACTTCATGAAGAATTTCTTGAGCTATTTGAACTATTTCCCTTAGTGTTTTGGCGATACGACTACGTCGTGTCTCTACACGATTCCTGTAGAATAAATGAAGATAGTAGTACATGGGATTAGGGATAGCAGATAAATGTCGTCGTGGAAGTTTCAGCGGATGATTGCCATGCTGGTGATGATATTGATGTTGGCCTTGGTTATTATCAGTATTATTATTATTGTTATTATCGCCAGTATTGTTAGAGTGATGATGTGAATAGTTTAAATTGTATATTCCACGATGATATTCCATGGGTAAATTGTCTTCCACACCGTTAGGATCTCTTCCGTGGAGAAGATTAACTTCTGTGTTGCTGTTATTGTTGCCACTTATATTGACTACTGAATTACCATTATTAGTAGTAGTGATACTTGTACCAATAATAGAATTACTGTTACTACCATAGGCTAAACGATTTGAATACAAGGTGGGTAAAAGATCCATGAATTCTGTTTTAATGTAAACGGGCAAATATTTTAAAATTCCAGGAATATATATGAATATATCCGTTCACGTGTGTATGTGTGCGTGTGTGTTAAAACTGAGAATTTTAAAAACTACCACCCTGTGTCCAGCAGTAGGAATACTAAACAGAGAAAGAAGGCAAATAATCCCTTTCCTGTCTGTGTTCTTTTGCGTTCAGTTTCTCAAGAACACACAAAAATTGCATCTTTCAGATGTTCTTCTCAGTAAAATTCCCCCAGAAATATGCATATATTATTAATATTATTAGAAAAATGGCTTTTATGTTCAAAATATTAATATGCCTCCTTCATACAATGTACAGATGAAAGCAGAAGGATCTGGTTGGTACTCGGAAAGTTTTGATAAGAATCCGTATCGTGTTAATGAGATAATAACATGTTTCATGATTTATCATTATTTATTATGATTTGCTTGAAAATATTTGCAAAAATATACTCCCTTAAAGTGATTTTATTTGTTTGTATTTGAGTGGGGGGGGAGTGGGGTTTTTTCTCTCTCTCGCTCTGTCTGTCTCTCCATTCTCTTATCCAACCTCCTCCCCCTACACACACCTTTTTCTCCCTTCATCTTGATCCTTATATTTTTCTCCCTGCTCCTACGTAAAAAGAGATGTCTCAATAGATGCATACCACCCACGCATTCTTTTTTTACTCTGTTTGTCTATTGGTGAACAGTTAACCTGTTATGTAGATGTATTGATTTTTTTCCAGTTGAAAGAAAATGCGATCCAATCAGAAGAGAGGAAAGCTTTAAAATGAGAATGATGTAGTCAACCAATCAGCGATTAGTGAATATTTATATGGGATGTCAGAGAAAGCGTTTGAAAACAGATAGAGATGGGGCTTCAGAAAGATTAATTTTTTTTACAGGAAATTTTCACCTGGCTGGCTTGATTAAAACTTGGGTTATTAGAAAAATATCCTCCATCATTATGTTGTATAGAATTTCTCTTGTATACTTTATTTTTATCGATTGAAATATGACCTATGTTATATATGATCCAAACCAAGTTCACTTTTAACAGTTTGACAAAATTTGGGCATTGGGTGGTATATGATATTCATTATAATAAAGGCTTTCTTGTATTTCCCAATGAATGAACGAAAAACAAAACGATATTGTAGTTGTTCTTACTGACGTTTCGCTATTTAATGCTGCTGCTAATAGCTTTATCAAAGTAGTAATAATGAACTAGAATTTCCAAATTCTCAGCTTAACTAAAGACCCGATTTACCAACTAATAAAAAGCAAATCACCACATAACAAGCAAGTTCAAATTCCAAATCAATAGAAATGATCAATACAAAGACAGATTATTAAAAAGACGGCTGTAGAGAAGGAAATTTTCTTTTCGACGAAGTCATCAGTTAGTCTGTACATTCGTGTACTTAGAGTAAATCGGTGGGAAAGTGAGAGAACCACTGGAAAACCTGGGAGTACGAGACAGCTGTTTCGTCCTAGTTTGGGACTCTTCATCAGCACGTACCCATCAACAAGGTCCAAACCCAGGACCTTCCGGTTACAAGGCGAGCTAGCTGGTAGACCATTAAGCCACTAGGACTCGATCCAGTGGCCAACGCATGAATTCTAACTTCTGCCAATTCACGACATAGCGCGACCATTTCGCAATGTCTTCTGCGATAATAAAATAATAATAAAATAAAAATAAATAAAAAATAAAATAAGTTACTGCCTCATCTTCAACTTGCTGTACTCTAATTGTCACAGCTTCCCACTAGAACCCCAGGTCACTGCCTGAATAGGGCCATTGAAATATTGAAAATTAATCTGATACTCCCTAGTGACTTGTTACTGGACGGAGTTTCCTGGAGTTGTAATGACAAGTAGTGACCAGTGAGATCCATCCAGTCGGGAGTGAGGATGTATTTCCCACCGATGACATTGGTTGGTGCCAGTCGCGCTAAATGCATCACGAATTGGTAGAAGTTAGAATTTATGGCCTGGCCATTCAATCGGGTCCCAGTGGCTGAATGCTTTACGAGATAACTGGCCTTGTCATTGGGAGGTTCTGAATTCGAATCCTAACAGTGACTGCATACTGCCGATGAGTCCCAAATTAGACTAACGAAACGGCTGTCCATTACTCCAGAACTAGTTTTCAGTGGTTATCTAACTGGTATCAATCCGTGCATGGTCGAACTCGGAAAACAAAGGTTAAATTAATAAAATTACTAGGTGTAATAATTAGGAAGATGGGGTAGAAAAGACATAATAAGATCATAATGACTGAAAAACTTGACTGTTTCTACAAATTACGGATTAAGGGCGTAGTAATAACGAAATAGGTAAGCAGATAGGACTCATAAAAAACAAAATTTAAAAAAAAACAACAACCAAATCTAGTGATGCAGATAGAAATTAAAAGCGCAAAAATGAACAAGCAGTCACGACAATGTTCCTCTGCCATGACATATAAATAAATATCATTCATGGAGAATTGAAATCAATTCGCTTCATACTGAAATCTGAGTTGAGTCTGTTGTCTACAAGGTGAACAACGAAATCTTCGCAACTAAGTCAAAATCATCCACTTGAGCTACGAATCTTCTCCATTTATTTTAAATCCAGTATGCTGATTTATCGTAGCCAGTGAATGTTTTCGATTTGGAATCTGTTTACTTGATTATAGAAACAGTAACGATATGTACAGCTAGAGCGTGCCCCGGTAGCTTAGTTGGTTAGAGCGCCGTACTTATAATGCGGAGGTCGAGAGTTCGAGCCTCTCTCGGGGCACTGGTTTTCATCATCCCTCTCAGTCTTCAACAATCTCATGAAAACGGAGCACGTAGTACAACGAAGAGGCGATTCTTCTCAGCGAATTCATTTTCCACTTTAGGTGTACAACAGCACTTATACACAATCTCTTTGTTGTGGTGGAGGATAGTAGCAGAATTGATGACACTGACATAATTAATATATGTGTAAAACTTTGGCACTGTTGTAATAAGTAATTCCACATTAGTTTGTTTATTAGATGTATCACAGTATTTGTTACTCATAATCGTATCAATTATGATCACACGACTTCCAAACTTGAGTTTTATAGTTTTCTTTGTTCTCTCCTATTTGCCGTAGATGGTAATAGAATTGTCCAGATTTCTAGCTGGACAGGAGTTGAATCATTCTTATTACACGCATTCTCTCTCAGTTGATTCGATAAATAAAGTTTCCGTTATCAATCTCTCCCTATACCCTGTGACATTAGATTTTAAAACTGTCATCCTATCCCATCCATCCTATTGTATGGTTGTGTGTAACTGCATGTAGTGCTATGGCTGAACTATTCTCTAGATTTCTTATCTTATTCGGGTCAACCAGTCTAGATTTTGCTAGATTTTTATGTTCAGCTAGTCTGACTTCACCTGTTCTACTAGTTTGACCTATGTATTTTTGACCTGATAATCATTGCAGGCAGGATATTAGATAAACTAAATTGCTTTGTTTAATGGGCTGCATTCCACAGGATCCTTCAACCGAGAAAGCTTGTTTCTAACTGACTTTGTGGGTTTGAATACCAGCCACTTTTATTCCTGCATGCATTGTTAAGAATTCTGCGTAAGGTTTCGGTGGTTCCTTCCTTGTGTGGAATTACTACTGATGATTTAGATTCCTTATGGTTGGTGTTGTCGTTCTCTTGTGCATGTCTGACCTGCATGTCGTCACTAATATTAATATTATCATTATTATCACTATCGCTACTGTTATTATTTATTTTATTTTTACATTTCCCAACATATTTCAAAGCTTCTCTTATATGCCCCACTTCCTGTCTTAGATTTTCCTAGGTACTACTTAGTTTTTGTGCCCCATTACTTAAACATTTCACCAATCCTATTTTTACTGAAATTGAATGGGATGATCGGAAATTCAAATATCTGTTTGAATGTGTGGGTTTCCTATAAACACCAATGTGTGTTCAACTTCTCATCTTCTCTCCTTTTTACGCTACAATGTAACGTTGGAGGTTCCCTTTCTTGACTTTCCATTTCATAAGTGAATTGAATTGCCTCCACCTTTGAGTTAATTGTGTTCGAAAAATCTATCTATATCTTGTGTTCTAAGTACAGTGAATGTATCATCTACATACCTCCAACATACTTTTGGGGTGGGGGTGAACGTTTCAGTCGCTAAGTTTTCCCACCTATCCGTGAATATATCTGCCACTATCTCGGATAAGATGTGATTATGAACAGCAATAAATTGTGTTCGAAACGTCAATATCCAGTAAATAATACTGCTGTTTCACTGTGTGTCATATATCTAATAAACAAACTAATATGGAATATTTGATATCAATCAATATATAAAAGAGGAGTTGAATAAATGTGCTACTGTTACGTAATAAGGTGTATAATTTTAATGGACGAATTATAATCAGAATGTACATAGAAGTGAATGAAAATACGAATTGATGTGAGAATGAGTTCTGAAGAATTACGAGAGATATAAGGAGTTAGGGAAACAGGCAAGCAAGCGAACAAAAAATCATTTGAGTATAAATCAATGTGGTTGTTACCATGATAGTAGAGTTGGTTGAATACTTCTCTTCCTTGTATGCATAATTCTGGTTTCTCTAACTGAATGGCTAAAGCTTCTGCGATGCACAGAGGAGACGAAAGCGTATCGACTTTGATAGACTGTTCTACAATTCTGTATCACCAAGTATTGGTTTTGTAGTGATTTTATTTGATTGGTTGGAGAATTTCATAATGAGCTGACATCAGTTAGAGAACCATTGGAAAACCAACTGGACAGCTGTCTCGTGATAGTCTGCTACTCTTCGGCAGTACGTACCCACCAACAGGGTTCGAACCCAGGGTCTTCTGGTTGCAAGGTGAGCTAGCTCGCAGACCGTTAAGTCAATGGGACGCGATCCAACGGCCAGCCCATGAATTCCAACTTCTTCCAATTCACGATAAAGTGCGACCACTTCGCAA